AGTATATCAGTGTATTTTGCCATGCTTCTTTTATGATATATTGCTTGTAGTCTTGATGCACTTTTGGAAGGATTTATTTTTCCATTCTATGTTTCATCTGTCCTTCTAGTTCATTTTACTCTTGTGTGTTCATTGTTACAGATGAACCTGTTTCCAAGACCAGCCCCCTGGTGCTCTCTAGAAATGTCAAAAAAAAATAATAAAAAAAAAAAGCAAGAAAGAAAAAGAAAGAAAGAAAAAAGAAGCCCTTCATAATAAGAATGACCCTTGTGGTAATCAGAAAGACAGCTTTGATCAAGAACATCTGTTAGCAGGTTTCTGGTTCTAAAATCAAGCTGCAGAGAAGACAAGAAGATACAGAAAGTGGCATACCTCAAACGGCGAGGATGGCCTCCCTGGGGAGGCTCTGACCTCTCCCAGAGATACAAGCTAAGATCATAAAAAAATAAATAAAAAAGAATAGACATCAGAAGGTGTGGAGTGCATGTGTCATTTGAAAAAAAAACATGATACCTGTGTTTCGGAGGTGTCATCTCTAAATCTTCTGAGGAGTACAGATAAGCCATGCACTTCTAAGCATCACATTTCCTCCTCAAGCAAACCACATACATGGGAAAAAAGAACATACTGTGGCATACGCTGCATTGCACATGTCCTTTTTGTTATGTCTTCTTTTTCTCTCGTCTTGTTTTATGCCTTATGTGCTAACAACTCTGCCTATTGCCTAATGTGTAGGTCTGGGATATGGGAGAGTACAGCAGAAGAAATATTATTTTGTTTCAAAAGGTTTCTTATCACACGTCTAGTACCATTCTTGAATGATTAACAAAAAAGTCACAATAATAACAGAAAAGTTTTGGAGAAGATATAAATGTACTAGTTGCACAGATACATTTTTTATAAGAAAACCCAGGGAAGTACAAAAATAAAAACTTCCAAAACCATCTCCATGTACCTGTGAGTTTCCACAAAATCCAGTTGAACATCTGGATTTTAGTTCTACTTGCTGTAGAGATACTTGTAAACTGTGAAATCTGGAATAAGACTTGAACAAATTGATCAAAGAGATTTAATTATATTAGGCCTCTGTTTTATTGTACCAAGTACATAATTATTGCAAGGGTTATATTATGTTTATTGGGAACTGTATTCTTTTTCTCAAATATATATTATTATGTTGGGGTTCTTGATAAACAGGAAAAAAAAATAAAGCATTTGGAAATCTAAGAAAGGCAGAAAGGTCTCAAGGTGGACCAAAAGGTTTTAGAGATTGTTCAGTGTTTTATATTTCCTCTGATTCTCCTATATTTATCCTTGACTCTATAATGAGCTATCATGTCAAGGGGAAAAAAAAAAAACTATTAGGTGAAATTAACAAAAAAATTAAGACAGAAAATGATTAATTTAGTTAGCAACAACAAAAAAATACATATGGGTGTCCCCAGTCCACTTTTCATATAATAATTACTGCATGCAAAAATGGATCACTGGAAGCAAGACACTAAGTGTTCTGGCTATTCAGTCTAATATATCAACTGAAATAACAAGTCATAATAAAAAAAAAAAACACAGAATTGATTCATACTCATACAGTCATAAATATGACCATGTATGAACCAGAGAACCTAGATGAGTCCAACTCAAGAATGCCAGTGCCTAAAAGGGCCATTTTCAAAGTCATTAAGCATTTTGGAGGAGTGATCTTGAGAGTCTTTGTGGTGACATAAGTGATTTAGAGCTTAAACAGGAATATGTGTCTGAATTCCGACTTTGTTTGTCCTTTAAGACTACCAATGAACATCAGAAGTTAAGAGCACTTCCTATAGGTGGGTCATCTCACTGCACAGGGCTCATCTTTTGCAAGAGGCTGAGCAAGATAACCATACAATGTTACAGCAGTTGACTTATGAAAGACCTAACTCAGGAGGAGAAGAAATCTGAGCTGGGACTTAAATTCCAGACCAAAACATCTACTTTTAAGTAATTGCATGGGAGGTAGAGGCTCAATTTAGTTGTTTAAATGCTCAACTCACCCGCAAGTGCGTAACTATTTTTTTGTCAGTAGAAGCAATCTGTAGTCCATTAATTGTACTAGCTAGATTTCCATTAAATATAAAGGGAATTTAGGAGCCTACAACTGCCCATAGACAGCTAAATCAATAAGCCTTGATCTGCAAACTTAACTCCAAGTGAGGTTTCAATTTTCTGTCCAACCTGAGGAGATCCTGGCCTTGTTCAAACCCTGCAACAGAGGACAGTGTCCTTCTAATCAGGATAAGACTAAGTCAAGGTGAGGGATGCAAGCAGAAAAATAAAATGGGGAGTAGGTGGAAAGAACCCTGGTCCAACAGGAAGTCCTAGGATCGGGGGATAATTAAGCGAGCAAAACTCTCTGTGCTCAGTCATTAACACTTTCTGCTGTTGGCTGGGAGACTTTGGGTCCAGTTTCTAGTTTGGTATCGCTTTGTTTGATGGCCGTCTCTGCTTAATATGGCTCTCTAATATAAATGGTAGACAAAGACCTGAAAAAAGACCATTTGTTTTCTTGCCCTAGTCAGCAGACTCTCATGTCCTTCCTGTCAAGAGGATGGGGTAGAGCATGGCCTAACTCACACTATTATGTAGCTCAGTAGTTAATAAACTCTCCTGGGATGCCTATGGGGCTAGCTTAGATGTGTTGAAATTCTGAGTAAGTCTCAAAGCAGAATCTTGCCCTTAAATTGCCTATTAGTCTGCTATTTTGGAGCTTAGTCTATGAACTTTTTCCCACAGCAGGTAAAATACCTTGAATGATATATAAGAAAGCCCTTGGGTAGAAGATACATCATGAATAAATGATAATGGTCAGCACGAAAGTCTATTCATAGCAAGTATTATCAATCAACCTGGGTGACTATTGAGAGAGATTCAAGGCTTCTTTTCAGTAAGAATTGAGGCTATGCGTGTATGTATATATATGTACACATATCTTAAACTGCTTTAAAGAATCTTAGACTAAATTCTCAACAGACTAAAATTTTCTGGACTTGATATTGTATGCTGCTATTCACAGGAATTGTCCAGCATTGATATGTGTATTCCTTGCTATTCGGGAGGGAGGGCAAATTTGGCAAGAGATGAATCCCCTTGCATTCCAGCCAATCCTCAAAGGTTAGAGAGACCGGGGGCAGCTGGACTCATCTCTTAATAGAGATAGCCAATACTGTGCCAGGCGTACACTTGACTCTGTCAGTATCGGATTCACCCACAGTCTGCTGACTGTAGGTCTGATTGCCTTCAAGACAAGTTGTCAGGTTCACAAATAGCACAATTTATTCAAATGCAACATTATAAAAAAAAAAACAGGTTTGGATGTCAGCATAGGAAATTCTCTACAGTGTGGGGTTCTTAGCTAGTGCCTAGTGTACAAATGCACAATCATCACTCACCCAGAAGATGGGAGAGGGCTCTCAATTTTGAGGAGTCTCCTCAGGTGGTGTCCTGACCCGAGCTGGGGGGAAGGGGTTCAGCCTGTCGACTGATCCAGAAGTTATGATGGAGTCCTCCCTCTCTCCTCTTCCTTCTTCCTTCCTCGTTCTTCATTCCTCCCCCAACTTGGCTCGCCTTTAATATATTTTCTTTTACATCCAGGTGGAGCTTGAGTGGCTCTAGTCATATTTACTTTTGTTATTAATCTAGAGAGCGTGCTCAGTGAGGAGTGTTCGTGTATTGGTATTATAATGGAATTAGGAGGAGAAGAAGCCTGAGCAAAACTTCTCAGATGGAACTGATCTGGCACCATCCTTGGCCCATCAGCTGTGTGGCACCACCAGGCTGCCACTCTGCAGGGAGTGCAATAGAGTTTGGCCTTGGTGTCTTCACTCTACTCCACCCTCCATTCACTCTTATTAGCATGAGCTAGGAGGGCAGATTGTGTTGCCTAGGGAGAAGCGGATTCCACACATACCAGCCATCCTGGAAGTGGTAACTGTCTCTCACCTCAAGCAAGCCTCTGCAATGCCAGAACTTCTCTCAGGCTCCATCTTTCTCCAAGCCCCTCGTCTTCTCAAGCAATTCTCTCACACTTGCTTTATCAGGCTTTCCTGCATCTTAGTGTCTCTGGAGAACTGATTCTGCCAGGAGAATTCTGGTTCTGACCGACTGTTGCCATGGCATTGGGTTATTCTGGGCTGTGATCAAGAAGAGCAAACAAATTTGAAAAAGAAACAGACTTTAAAACACATTCTAAACCCACAGTGTGTGGGACTAGTTTCTTTTTTAAAAGTAAAACTTGATTTTCTGGAATATTGCATAGTTTAAATGTTTTTTTAAAAGTGTTATGTTAACCAAAAAGAAAAAAAAAATAGGAGTAGCGGGTGATTAGAGGTAATTAGAGGGTAATTCTCACTTTATTCGAAATTGTTTATTTAATTTTAATGCTGTTATCCCACATTGAATTGAAAACCTCAGTTTCTTTGGAAACATTTGAAAAAGCAAATTTTTATTGTTTATTTATTCATTTATTTTCAGATTACATTCCTATAATTCTAGCCACTATTCCAAAGCTGATGGGAATCAGTGAATGTCTTTTTGATATTATTGGGCTTTTCAGTCGAGTGCATAATAAGGAGTTTGTCTCCTATCGCTAGACACCAGTATGGTTCTTCCTTTATACTTTTTAGTATCCGTGGAATTGAAAGTCACCCCTGTGTACCAGAGTAGTGTTGAAGGTTCAAGAAATTAATGAGACATCATTTGCAGGAACTAGTATGGGAAGTTGATATTCTTAGAAGACAGAGTTCCCTAGGGGAAAAAGAAGAAAATGCACTACGAAGAATCCGAGTGGGGTGTTATCCAGGATGATGAGCTCCAAGAACTCACGACTGTCTGCAAGCAATATTTAAAACATTAAAATAAGCAATGTGTAATTATTTGGGAATGGGGAAAGTTTTCAGGAAGTCCACTATTTACAGATGGATAATTTTACCTGACAAATTGCTGTACATGTTCTTATTCCACAGGCAGAATTCACAGCCATGAGGGACCAATATATGCGAGGTGGAGAAGGCTTCATTATCTGCTACTCCATCACAGACCGCCAATCTTTTCAAGAAGCTGCCGAGTTTAAGGAACTCATTTATCGTGTCCGGCACACCTATGACATCCCCTTGGTGCTGGTGGGAAACAAAATAGATCTTGAAGAGTTCAGACAGGTAAGCAACTTCTCTGCTGTTTCGGGTTCGTTTTGCCTTGGGTACCTCAGGGACTTCTGTAGCATATGTTGTGTAGTAGCACTGGGAATTAACAGCACAAAATGCAGTTTGATCAAAGAGCAACACACTGGGTTTGGTAATAAATAAAGCCTTAGCAATACATTTCAATCAGATAACATGAGTTCTTGGCCAGTCATCCAAATGATCTTGCTTTTTGTGTGTAAAGATCTCACTGTTTTCTTTGGATGTTATTTATCTCACAAGTGTAGAAATAGATTCAGCCAGGATCTTAGTGGTAAAAGAAATGGTTTTCTTGAAAGTTCTATTAAAGACATATTTTTTCCATAAATGTACAATGTTCAATTGTCCAATTAAATTGTAAATTGTACAATGTTAAATTGTACAATTATTCAATTAAAGTTTTCTCAAGCCAGACTCAAAACAATTCCAATTTAAGAAAATAAATCTATAAAAGATTATCTTTGTCTGAAAAGCCAATTGTTATGCTGTTAGAATATTAGTGCAAGAAGGGGAGATATAAGAATTAAATTCACTTTGATTTATATGCAAGCCTTCAGCTGCCATCAATTCTAGATATCAATATATATCAATATGATATATTGATATGGATATCAAATATAGATTTCTTTAACTATGAGAGCATGAATGTGGCTGTCAGTTTGGAGTAAATTTTTCTCACCCTTCCCATTGCTGTTTCTCCCCTTCCTTCATGTGTTTGTGTATGTATATGAGCAAGATAGTGAATAAGAGAGGGATTCTCTTAGAAATGGCTTCGTTGTAGCTAACACAAGATGGAAAATGTCTTTAATCTTAAACAGAAGCTTTGAATGGAAAAAAAAAAGTTTCTATGTCAAAGCCTAAGAAGATCTTTGTACACATAAAAGTTGCTTTCGAATGACTGACTTACCTTCTGTTCAGACATTTGTAACAGCTTAATAAAGTGGTATTTTTCAGACCATTAGCATCTGTGCTCACATGATCTTCTCTCTTTTACCACTTATCCTGTCATTCTTCTCCCCCTTTATTTGTATTCTTCCTTTTGCCTTAAGAAAATCCAAGGCAGTGTTAAGCCTGAAATCGGTTTTAAAGATCCAATAAAGTACATTTAAAGAATTTCACATCAGTTTCCAGACCATTGACTTTCACCTTAAATCAAACCATGACAAAGCCTTAATGATGGCAAGACAATTTTAGATTAACACTTATCTTGAGATCTTTAAAACCGTGTCATATGCACAGTATGTGTAGCTTTATATTCCAGATGGCGGACAGTTAGGGATTCAGTTGTTCTACTGAGGGAATTGCACCTGATACCAAGAACTACTGAGTAAGATTATTTTATCCACTCTTATCTATAGATCAGGTTTGCAGCAATGCTGTATTTATAGTCATTAAGTGATACCTTCCAGGTATCTTTGGCAATATCAATTTTTGATTTTGTGTTTTATTGGGCATTTATATTTCAATTACCGTCAATGCAGACCAAGTAGGCAAAATATGTGACATAATCATATCTTGTTAGTTAGTCTTCTAAACTCAAAACTTTTACAGTCTTGAGATTGAATTACACTTGGACATCGAAATCTCTGTTTACTTCAGAAGACTTAAGATTTAGATATAAGTGTTTCAGTAGTTGCTAATGTCTATACTAGTCCAAGAAAAATCTCATATCAAGCACCTTCTGCTGTAAACACTGTGAAAGATACGACACATTAGTTAAGCTTTGAATTTCTGGAGCCATCTCTTAAAATGTTACATCATTGGGTGGGAAATGCAAGAGCTACAGCATCAGTAATTTTGTATATCTGAGAAAATAAAAAGGCTTTACTTATTATCAGTTATCTGTCTTATAAAGAGTCATTCAAATATTTTACCTGTGTGCTTCAGGGGAGAGTTTAAACAAAAGTGTGTGCCCAATTTAAATGTTTGCCTTATGGTCTTGTCTGGTATCCTAAACAAGAAAACTGATGTACACGAATGTGTGAATTATATATCACAAATGACCCTTAAGAGTAAAGGGAGGGGAAGTTTTTGGTAATGACAGTAGAAATGATATATTTTTATATGACAGATGCACATAAAACTGTTCTATGTTGCTGTTACAAAGAACCTGCCTAGACTTTAGACTAGATCTACTGCAGGACCCTTGACTACATGCTCAGCTGCTGTGTATGAGATACACTCTTGGAGTATGTCTTCCACTCAAGTTTTATCCAAAGGGCATGGTCAAAATCTCAGAGGCAACACCACAATTCAAAGTAAAGCACAACAAGTGAGGCTGATCAGGAGATTTTCATCAAAGTGCCTCTCTGACCCATGCTGAAACACCAGTGTGTGAGCAAACATCTCTTTACCCAGGTTTAAGCATACACTAATGCACTTCAGCAGCATGTTTTGTCATGGCTGGGACCGTAATGAGCACTGTATGTTTAGCAAACAGTGCAATAAGCTGTATCCAAGCTCACCTCCTAGGTTAAGCAATACTGAAGTGACTTGATGAACTGGAGGAAGGGAGGGAGAAAGAAATCTCTTCAAGGTCATGTACTGCAGTCATGGCTTGATTAATAGTGCTCTGATGGTCAGGAATGGAAGACAGCTGACTCAGGGGTGACAGGCAGCAACTATTTCTGTGTGCAAACTCAACATGTCAATGTACAGCTCAAACAAACAGTAGAGATGCACAAATGTATCCAGTTAAACCTACAGAGAAATAGCAGGTAAGTAGAATGCAATCCACCAGGCTGGAGTTTGGCCAGGGCAACAGGACTAATATAATTGCTTTGTTTAAAGACATTTTTTCCTATGAAATTCATTAGAACTACTGTAATATTATTCATAGTGTTTGTAAACATAACATTAAGTTCAATATTCCCTGAAATAATTTGCATTTAACGATGATTCCACAACCATCAGACAGGCTGTAGGAGCATGGTCAGATAAAACTCTTGTTTGAAATGTGATCCCCTGTGCCATACAATTAATGATCTATGTCACTTGCCTCAAATCTATCAAGACCACAAGAATAAAGCTAATCTACAATTAAAATTTTGTGTAAAGAGAAACACTAATAAACAATGATAGGCTTATTTTTTAAATGTTTTTTTTTTATTATTTTCTGATGGCTTTGGAAAAAAATATTGTTGTCTTTAAGTACACATCATTTTTCTATGTCTTAGGAAATAGTTTTTAGTGTGCACCTTCCTAAGATACTTTTTAAATATATCAGGTAGAGGAATAGACACTTTCCTTTTTCTCCGAAACAAGGCAGCAACTGTGGGGAAAAAAAAAAAAGGCTTCATGAGTCATTATCTTGATGTGTTTATCCAATTTGATTGCAAGCTTCCCTCCACTCTCTGTTCTCTTCCATCCCGCAGCTGTCTCCAGTCCCTTCTGACTTTTTTTTTCATTTTGAATAGGAAATGTACATGAGTGGCTAAGGCATTCATTTATGTTCAGTCCTTGTGTTTTAGCGCTTACTCTAAGGACCTGTAAAGTATTTTGTGTATTTTATCCAAAAATCTGTTCGATGTAAAGAATAGACCACCTGGTTAGATAACAATCTGATTTCAGTGCCTTCTTACATTAAAGTCATTATATTAATACAGATACAAACTCTCGTTGAAGTATAGGAAACATTTAGAACCAGTTTACAAAGTGGAATACATAGATACTTTAATTTCAGCTAAGCTTTGTCACTGTAACCCAGACAAAAATATCTAGGTCCTCATGAGATGTAAAAGTTATGTAATGGGTAAATACTTATTTTATGCAACCAAAATATATTAATATATTTGAGATACAGTAAAGAGCTGCTCACCAAATGCTTCAAATGAACTCATGTCCTGCTAAACTTGAATTTCCATTTTTAGTTGATTTGTTGATTTTTTTTTTAGTAAAAACATGCTGTACTGTTGAAAGATTGTTTGATATAAGTTATCCAAAAGCCTTTGTCCACTGTGTTTAGCAATTCAGCAGGGAACTCCAAAAGCTTCTTCAAGCAATGTACTGTAGGTCTGAACTGGAAAAAATAAATACTTTCTAGCAGTGTTGTCAAATTTTTGATGGGGACGTTAGAAACCCTTTGGAAATTGCTAGTCTTTGTGAAATAGTTTTTCCAGGCACTTTTCCTGAATCCCAAAAGAATATATTGTGGAGTGTGTAGATAACAGGTTGATACCCATTCAGTCTAAGGTTATGAGGGCAGCTCGCACCTCCTTCAGTTGTTGGCCTCTCTGGGAAGGCTGTCATCAGAACTGTTAGTTTTGCCAGTACCGTCTTGGGCATGAAGAGAAATATGCACTTGTTTACCACTCCACACCTGAGCTGTCAAGTGTTTTTTCTGAGCAGGACTACTGCTTTTGAAATCGTTTCCTTCCGTCTCCTTCCCTTCTCCCTGCTTCAGTAGGAACTTATGAAATTTTTCTTCAACATGGAATAGCATTTTACTTGGAGTGCTACTTAATTATAGGAGGTTCATTATGCTGATATTTCAAGTTTTATTACAACATAATATAATTTTCAAATCAGGATTGCAGCAGTTAAAATACGTTGTCATGTTCTGAATGAGTTGTCTCTAGGTGAGGTTTTACTGCGGAGTTTGTTCAGAGTGGCCTGACTGGTTATCAGGTACTGTCAGCATCAACTTTTAGACATCTTGTTTTGACAATTGCTCAACTTTTCATGCTGGTTTCTAAAACCTTGAAATATTTGTTGGGTCTGAGACAGCTATGTTCTCTTTTTTCACTGAAGTAACTGAAGTCCAGTTACTTGAAGCATATTTCAGACTTACCAGTCTATCCCTTCTGGTGCCCAGATAGAACAATGAAAATACTTTCAGAATATTATATTGTTATTTTATTTTATTTTCATTATCTTTTGTATGTCTATGAAACACTGTTTGTTAAGCTTTCTTTTACTCAAACTAACCATGTAATTGCAATACTCTGAACTTCCTATCCTAGCATTGGGATGAATTCCTT